GCTGATTAAACTCCTGAGCAACCAACCGTGCTTTATAGCGGTCCTCAGACGCATCAGATAAATATTTTGTCTTATAAATCCATTTAGACCCAACTACATTTTTTCTAGCATCAAACGGTACGAAGTCCCATGTATGATTACAGATAAGGGCATTAAATTCCTCAGCCATTGCGGCTCGCCACTTAAGATGTTTATTGACAATAGAAATTATGTGGGATCAGGTGTGCTGACAACTTTATTTAAGTTAAAAAGTGGTTTGGGTTAAAAAATCCCGGATTTAGATCGGGTTTGCATGGGATGAACATTAGCAACGGGGGCAGAGCAGTTGGAGGAAATGGCAGGTGGGGAAACACTAATTAATACTCCCTCCGTCCCTCTTATATTGTCCCGTTTTACCTTTTCGGGAAGTCCCACTAAAATTGTCCCATACCATATTTGGTAAAGTTTGTGTGGTTCTAAATCATTCTTACTTTATTCTTACTTTATCAATTAATATCAACCACACAACCCCACTTTTCTTAATAATCGTGCCACTCTCTTCCGACCCAATATAAGAGGGACGGATGTAGTATTACTTAGAAATTTTCTTCTACGGTCCTCAATTTATATTTTCTAATGAAGACGATAACAATTAGTATCATGCTATATGGTCAGATTATTTAGTAATAATTATGTTAAACTATTTAGTATCATTATGTTACACTACATGTGTTCCCTAAAGATTAGGACAAGATGGATTGACCCAACTATTATGACCTGTTTGGATGGAGTGTTGAGAAGTATTAGTAATAGAAGTGTTAATAAGCGTTGACATGGGCCCGGAAAGGTAGGTAAGTGTGAGTGCAAGACCTAAACTGTAACGCCCGTATTTCTTAATTACTTCTTACGTGCTAATCACTTTTATTATGATCATGTTTAACTTATAATTTAAATGTTATATATGTGAAGTATAGGGATATCATGTGATTATGAACTTTGTGATAATGATATTTGAATTTACGTGTTTGTATTATGTTTGAACGTGATAGGTGACAATATCCGATGAGCAACGAAACTATACTGTAATAATCTCTTATTTTGAATAGAACAGTATATCAAGTTAGTTGTCATATTAGATAGTATTCGGGTGTTTTAAAAGTAGTTTAAAATGTCACCGGGGGTCAAGGGAGTGATCGGCAACAATCGGGGCCGGTTTAGGGTGAAAAAGGCGTTTTTCGGCACCGGGGGAATCCCAGACCGGCGCCAGTTGGACCCAGAACGGCGCCGGTCCAAAACAGAAAGTTGGCGGCGTGCAAAAATCATCACAACCGGCGCCGGTCAAGGGTAAACCGGCGCCAGTCTGGTCGGTTTTCTGAGGCGGTGCAAAGTCTATTTTAGCGGAAAAATCCCCTTTCAACCCCATTTTCGACCTGAGCTCGTCCCTCTCTCTACAAACAATCTCAAAACCCTTCCTAAGGTGATTCAAGGACAAATTAAGCATATTCTTCATCAAAGATCACCCCTTGGTAAGATTTTTACACTTTACATGAAGCATTTTTCTATATTTGATCCATAGTTCTTGTTTTGGGATTTAACAAGGGTTGAGTGAGTTTTGGGTTGATTTTAAGAAATTAATGGATTTATGGATGATAGGAGTGTTGTAGTGTGGTTTTTTATCCTTGGTTTATCAAGTTTTAAATCTATTCTTGAATAACTAGGTATTCCAAAGTTTTGTCAAATTGATGAAAGAATTTGGGGAATTTTCTTAATATGTATGGGCTGATTCTAAATAGATATGTAGAACTCTTGATTATTATGGTTATTAGTTAGTTGTTATTGGTCTCTTAAGTATGAAGTTCAATCGGGGGTTGGTTGTCTAACTACTCGAGGATTTGACCGGTTGAGATATAGGAGTTTTAGAAGTGTATCATGTTCGGGTCTGGTTTTGATGAGCTCCTCTTATCCCTAAGTCTTAGGGTTTTTAGTAAAAGCATGAAATTGTGTTGATGAAGTGTAAATCATATATGTATAGGTGCTCATTGAAGAACCGTTGCCCGTAGACGCTTTACACACACGCTCAAGGGTAAGAACTCCGCATGAATCAGGTAAGTCACCACCACCTATACATGATAATTCTAAATATAGTATTGAAGTCTTGCTAATTATGAATTGGATATGTTTGAATTGCTTGGATATTTGAACTTGTGTGACATGATGATAGGTGAAGTGCAAGCGTTATATAAGTGTTGACATGTTGTGTTGACTGTAAAGTTATTGAATGATTAAATGTATGATATCATGTCGTATGTTTGGTCGTAGATGGGGTTCATATAGAACCAATGATGAAAAAGGAGTTATGTTGATGATGTTATCTGATGAATGATAAGAGATGTTCTAAGGTAGCCGTGCCCCCAAGTAATCACCTGAGCTGAGCGTAGCGGGACATCCTTCCACGGGTCCATAAACTCAAGAATAAAGTGAGAAGAAAGAATGATGAATGAGGAAACCTTTTTAGTTTCGATACGTGAAGCTTTTGTTGCCATGATATGTGTTGTGTATGTGGTTATGTTTATATGTTGAGTATTCTAGCTTGTGTATCTATTTATGGCTAGCTAAGACTCCATTATTTTAGTGGATGTAATGGTGACTTACTAAGCAAATTTTGCTTACGAGAATTCTGTTTTCTCATGTCTCATGCATAGGTAATAAATGAAGGATGAAGCCTCAGAGGATGTATGGAGCTGGTGACAAGGCCTTGGATGGGTTAACAGAGAAGACCTGACTGTTTCTTATGTTTTGTTTTTATACTTTGACATTTTCACGAGTGTCTAATGTTTTGTTTTAAAAAAATCCTGATCAGGTGTGATGACTTTGTTTTAAGCGTGATTGTTGTTGGTCTTTTGACATTTTAGTTTTGAAGTTTTTCTTATGTATATAAGAAATAAAGTTTCATGACGAGAATTTGTATCTTTAATATTCCGCTTTGTATATTTAGTCTTGTTTATTTATGTTGAGTATGGTAATGGCCGTTTGGGGATGATCGTTACATAAACTTACCTTGTTTGGGAGAGTTAAAAAATAAAGTGTTAATAATGAAAGTGTTTTCACGTACATTAACAAAAATATCCACATGCCTTTTAAATTTAAGTATTTTATATAGCTAATTATATTGTTTGGCTGCTCCATTATAAAATATCACCGTATATATATTTTTGAAAAGGTATCACAGTATATTATTGTATCCAAATGTACAAATTGAAAGGGGAGGCACAGCATATCAACCTCATTGAAGAAAGATAAAAGAAATATACTCCCTCCCTCCCAAAAAGGTTGGTCAAATTTCTTTTTTTTTGGATATCCCAAAAAGATTTGTCATTTCCATTTAAAGTAAGAAATATGTGGCTAAAATTAATTCTCTCTACTCTGCACAAATTTCAACCACACAGTTTTTACTTTATTAATCTACGTGAAAGTCAATGTTGGCTAATTTTCTGGGATGGAGGAAGTACCTATTACCCTTGTACTATTCTGGTCGATGCTAGTCACGCACAATTGCACAAAACTTCACTTTTGTCAATATACACTGAAAACATAAAGAAGAATTGAAGATGAGTAGAAGCTAATCCAGAGAAGAGAAACAGCGACCAAAGAAAAACATAGACACATAGGCGAGGCCGACGGACGAATATAGGGAGTATATTTTAAATGAAAAGGGTAAAGTTTGTCCAATACCTTAATACATCAGAAATGGGGTGTTAAAAAGTGATAAGTTAAACATGTTGGGATGGTTATGGTTAACACGTACAAACCATTACTATCATTCCAACTTTTTTTTATTTCTCTTCCAAAAAAGTGTAAAGGTAAACACTTCTTAACACTTTCATTACTAACACTCTTGAACACTCCAACTAAACAAGCCATTAAGATAAGTGCAACTGTGTGGTTAGTATTGAATATGAAAAGTGTGAATAGTGCAAGAATAAATTACAACAACCTAAATATTATCAAACATGATATGCGACAAACTTAGTGAGCGAGATTAAAAAGGTAAAATGGGACAAACAATAGGGGGCAAGTCGACAACCAGAGTAATAATGTTGACATATAAAAAATGTCACACCTCTACAAAAATGTAACAAATGCTAAGGAAATGTTATATTTGACATTACATATATATATGCATTATAATGCTAGAAATTAACATGTTAGTGGTAAACCATTTCATTGTTAAAAGTTATAAATTGTGATAATCTTAAAAATAATGTAAAGAATATTTGTATTATCAAAAAAGTAAAATTATAATTATTGAGTATATATATATAAAGACAACAAACATTAAAGTTGAAAGTATGAGGAATTGGATATCACTACACACAGTGACTCTAGTCAAATCATCTACTCAACAATAGATCATATCAATGGGCATTTTACCTTATGTAACCAAGCAAGAGTGCATGGTGTGTGTAGGACAAATGATTTAAACCTCGTCTTAAGTGCTCGGGTTTTTATAAGCATGGATTCTTGAACAAAAATAAACTTAGGGAGACTTAGCAAATAAGCGCTCAAACTTTCATAAAAAGTGTAAATAAGCCCTTTTATAGGAGGTTCATTATGGACGTCACCGTTTGGGGAGGTTTACGGTAGAAGTTTTTTGAACATCTTCTTCATTAAGTCTAGTTTACTCATACCAAATTTCAGCTAAAAATACAATCAAGAAGGCAGTCGAATGAATTTTTGAAGATAACTGTGCAATTAGGCAGCGCAATATATTTCAGAAAATCATTTGACTGCCTTATCGATTGAATTTTTAGCTGAAATTTGGTATGGGTAAACTAGACTTAATGAAGAAGATGCTAAAAAAAATCATCAAAAAATTCCACCGGAAACCGCCCTAAACGGCGATATCCGGACAAAGCCTCTTGTAAAAGGGCTTATTTACACTTTTTATGAAAATTCGGGGACTTATTTCATAGTTCTCCCATAAACTTATATTGAGTGCTCCATGAATTAAGTTACTAGCCCCGCCATGACCCCCGTCTAACCCTAGCCGCCGCCTCTCCGGATCTAGATTTGAAACCAGTTTGATCCATTGATTAGGTCAACGCCCCTTAGATCGACTTCCCACAATCAGAAAGAAATTGAAGAAGGAGAAGAAGATGAGAAGCTGTGGCGGCGTAAAAGAGGTTGCGACGTCAGAGAAGAAGAGGTTGCAGCGAGGCGAAACGAAGGCGGCGAAGAGCCAACGGCGAGGCGAGGCGAGGCAAGACGAAGATGGTGAAGAACCAGCGGTGAGGTGAGGTGGCGGCGAGAGGCTAGGGCAGCGAGAGGCTAGGGCGGCTTCTGTGAAGCGTAGTGCTGAAATGAAATGGCGGAGGTTCCTCTGGTTTCTTTTAATTAGGGCAGAATGCATCTTTCAATTAATACATGTCATATTTAGGGAAAGAAAAAATGAAGTCATATTTTGGGAAATGCAAAAGTTATTAGTAATATCAATGCCATTTTTTCTATTAAGAAAAGTCCTCGTGACTCATGAACACCTCTTTGGTAGACAAAAATTGTAATTTAAAAACACGTTCTTTATTTTTATAAGATTCATGTATTTAGACAATGTAGAAGTTGTTTTAAAAGTATTGGTGAATGTGTTCCTTATAAACTCTTTATCTTCAAATAAAACGTTATATATCCTTTTTATTTCAAATTATTTTTTCCTTTTATTTGTCATTTCTTACGATTTAATGTATCAATACTTTTTTCTAGAGATCTTCAATTATAAAATTAAAGATATAGATTTAAATGTCGACGTGTATGTATTAATGAATTTTTTTGAATAAAAATAACCGCAGAGCCTCACATTGGTGAAAAAATTTAGCCCGCTACACTAGCAAAAAAAGTTCACCCCGCCACACCATTGAAAAATGACCCGCTACTCTAACAAAATTTTTCGCCCCCCTTGACTCAAAATCCTGGATCCGTCCCTGATTAAGTATGTACTTAGCTAGGCGATTGAAAATATATGGAATAACAAATAGTTCATGATAAGAGTAAAATTTACTATAGTAGTAATAAATTGAAGCATCTTAAGTGGTACGGTAATCGATTTTTAATTAAATTGCTATTAAGTCTAATAATTTAAATTTGACATTTTTAGATTGGGGGATTTGATTTTTCTACTCCATATTTTGGGCAATATTGGAGTTTACATATCATTTTCATAATTAATAATATTTCCCCTCCATCAACCGAAAAATTGTGAAAGAGTAGAATTTAATTTCTATATATATTTCCACTAATATAAGACTTTGAATCATTTTCATTTTCATTTACCCCAGTGCCGCAAAGGCTCCCACCTACGGTGGGATAGGGGGGGTCGGATGTACGCAGTCTTACCCATGTACTAAAGCACAGAGAGACTGTTTCCGGATGACCCATAGTAAAAATTCCGTCCAAAGTTGCATGGACTGACTGCTGTTTCATAACAAAGAAGCGCAGACAGTTTAGTGAGCCATTTTGCTTTATTTCATCATAATCTCAAGCCAAAAAATAATGAATCTTTGGCTCCATTGCAAATGATGGGATAATATAAGACTTTGAATATAGGGTAAAAATATAAAGGACTAAAATCATTAATATGATTTAAAAATTTAGTCCTACACACATTGAGTTGATTTCTATATATATTTCCATTTTCAGAATCATCTAAAAAATATTTTAATCCTATATACATTTTTAAACTTTGTATCACCCATCTCCTGATCATAACATAACAAAAACTAATAAAACATATTACTCTTCCAAACCCGATCTATTTGAAAAGAATGACATATTAATCCGATTGAAGTAAACATGTTCTCAGACTATACCAATAGTCACAACCAAGATACCGGATTCAATCCTTTCAAACAACAAAACAGAAATAAAATAAATTGAACACACGATATGTTGACGCAGTTCGGATTAAACAATCTTAATCTGCGTGATTTCAACAGGGGAAACCCGGTCCCAAGAATCCACTAGCTCAGATTAGTTCAGAATACAAAGATGGTTGCAAAGCAAGACAAGAAAGTAAACAGATCAAGCATACAAGAATCATCTAGAAACAGACACACAACAGAAATAAGAAAAAGAACAGAAATAACCGGACGAAACCATCAAAACCCAGAAGTCATCAGATTCTTGGACTCGAACCAACAGCTTTGGGTTTAAGCTTCACCGAACAGACTATCTCCTGCCTTTCTCAGCTGCTTCGGAACTTAAGTGATCTATCCTATAAAAACCAGAGGTTTCTCTCTTACTAAATGCACCAAAGCTCTCAAACTCGCCTCTCTGTATTTAGATTTTCATAATGACGTAAAAGTAGTCTCACGAAGGAAAAAAGGGACCTTATATATGCGTAGAAGAAAAGAGCTGGGTCAAGAAAGGAGAACCAGACCACAATGATAATCTCGGGCCCAATCTGCAGCGGATAGGATTAAATGGGTTGAACCTAATTAATGATCTAATTGACTAAATCAATTAGAGACCACTAATGAAAGTACTATCTAATCTTGTTTTGCTCTGCTATCTAAGTATTAAAAACCATCATAGAAAATACATCTAGAATTAGGATTACAAATATAACAATTTTCCCTCCTAAGACTAATTCTGGTGCAGCACAGCTCCTAAGTGCAGTTTCATCATTACGAGTATCAGGATTCTTTAGATCATATTACACCCTTTCATCATCAACCCAGATAAGTACCTTTATGATCAAGGTACTTCAAATATTTTGAAGAACTGCCTGCAAAACAGAAACTTAGCAGTAGGAACAATTTTAGTACCAAAATCAGCAGGATTAACATCTTTGGTATTCTTATCAACTTTAATATTACCTTTAGAAATCTCATCCCTAATGTAATGAAATCTGACATCTATATGCTTAGTTTTTTCATGATACATAGGGTCGTTGCACAAATATATGACACTGGCTATCAGAGAAAACAGTAGGGATAACATTTGTACTCAACATTTCACCCAAAATACCTTTGAACTAGGGGTGGGCAGAACAGTTCGATTTGACCGAACCGAACCGTATCAAACCGAATTAAATCGAACCGAAATTAACCATTTGTAATTTGGTTTGAGTTTGGTAGTATTCCTCCCAACCCGCATTAAACCGAACCAAACCGAACCAAAATCATAAAACCGAATAAAACCGAACTAATCTAAAAAAGAAATAATTTCTTATTTTTTAAAAACAACAAATCAAAACCAACTTACACCAAACTAAACCAAACCAAAATATAAGATTTCTCTCATTAATTTGATTGATGGTAATCTTTTTGAAGCTTTAATTCTTTAATTTTAGTGTCCAGGACTAGAGTTTACTACAAGAGTTACATTCACAACTATAACAATTATAGTGGTTTAAGTAGATAGTATTTAACTATAATTTATTATCTACTACTACTATATATTTGGTTCATTACTTACAAACACCAGTTTTGTTTTTGTTTCGGCTTTATATATAATTTGATTCATTCTCGTTGTTGTTGACTTGTTGTTGCTTACAAATGTGTCATGCTTATATATTTTTGGTTCATATGTGTGTTGTTACTGTTTGCAAATTTATATCTAACATTATATTTGGTTCATTACTATCGCTTCTTGGTTCATTATTTTGAGTTAATTTTTTTTTCAATCCAAACCTTAATACTTTGGTAAACCGAACTCCAAATCGAACAGAATCATACCAAACTGAAACTTAATCGGTTTGTATTTGGTACATTTTCTATCAAACCGTTTAAACCGAAACCGAACCGAAACCAAAGAAAACCGAACCGAAAACCGAAATGTACACCCCTACTTTGAACCACTTTGGTTCTTTGATAGCCTCAGTAGCAGCTATATATTCAGATCAGTGGTAGACAAAGCTACCACTGATTACAATTGAGATTTCCAAGAGATACAGTTACCAGTCCGTGTAAAGAACCAAGAAGTAGTAGACTTTCTTGAATCTTTACATCCAGCATAATCAGAATCAACAAAACCCTTAAGATCACATGATTCAAAATTAGAGTATTTCAGACCTAGGTTCTTAGTACCAGACAAATATCTTAAAGTATATTTCATAGCAGTCCAATGTTTGATCCTAGGATCAGACATAAATCTGCTAAGTATACTAACAGCAAAATCAAAGTTAGGCCTAGTACAAAACATTACATGAGAGAACCAGAAGCAACATCATATAGAATCTTAACCATTTTTTCAGATTCTTCTAAAGTCATAGGGTAGGGATCTCTAGAAAGTTCTAAATGCCCTCCTAAGGGTAAGGGGGTGGATTTAGAGTCATTCATATTAAACATATCCAAGATTTTAATCAAGTAATCTCCTTGTGACAAAAACATGCTTCTCTTGGGTTTATTCCTAGTAATGTCTATTCCCAAAACTCTCTTTGCAGAACCTATGTCCTTCATGTCAAAATGCAATTTCAGATCATCCTTAATACTAAGAATCAACATTTTACATGGACCAATAATGAGAATATCATCAACATATAGCAGGATGTAAACAACATTTTCAGTTCCAACATATTTATAATACAAACAAGTATCATATTTACTCCATTGTCTACGAGACTGTTTAAGTCCATAGATTGATTTTTTAAGAAGATAAACATGTACAGGAAATTCTTTATTAATAAAACCAGGATGTTGAGACATGAAAATAGTTTTTTTAAGTCTCCATCCAAAAAGGCAGTCTTAACATACATTCGCTCCAATTCCCCGTCAAAAACTGTGGTTATAGCAACATTAATCTCAAGGTTTTGAATTTAATAACAGGTGCAAAGATATATTGGTAGTCAATACCTTCCTATTGTCTAAAACCTTTAGCTACTATTCTAGCTTTAAAATTAGGAGGTTCAGTAGGATCAAGACTATCTTTTAACTTATAAATCCACCTACAGTCAATTACTATAACATTTTTAGGTTTGGGAACTAAAATTCAAGTTCTATTAGCGTACATGGACTGAAGTTCTTCCTTCATGGCCTTCATCCACTCATTCGATTTAGGACACTTCATAGCCTATTCAAAATTATTAGGAGCTAACTGTTTTACAATCTCAGCAACAACCAACACAAATTCAGCAAGATTAGAGAAATATCTTTTATTAGAAATAGTAGTTCTAGGTTCTCTATCTCTAACCAGTTGATAGTCAGCTAAATTTGGTGTATCATGAATATTAGTGTCATTATTGTTATCAGGCACATCATTAGTAACAATAATGTCAGTCAGTTCATGCACAACAGGAGTATGAGAACCAGAATAACTACCTTGTGAGTCAGAACTCACTACTACCTGTTCACCTTCACTAAGGTTATCATGTTGGTCTGTTTCAGACTCCGAAGAATCATCTACAGCATTGTGGAGGATTCCACTATGATCCTCTTCATTTACAGAGTCAGCATTACCCAAATATTCAAAGAAATTCTCATCAGAAGCACCTACAGACTCACTCAAGGTAGTAACGGTTCTTTTAAATGGAAAAACATATTCATTGAAAGTAACAGC